AGGTTCGTATTTGGCGATTTGAGTATGAGCAGTGTGCTAAAGTCCCTTCAAAATATCAGTTGGCAGTCACATTTCTAGCGAATCTTGTTGGACATAACGTAGCTATAAACGAAGTGAAATTCAGCCCAAATCCTGAGCGTGAGTTCTTTTCTGGAGTCTTCCACTGTTCTCTCTGAATTATTGTGCGAAATCACTGAGATAGTTTTGATTCTGTTGGAAGGGCTTCCTCTCTTTCTCTTGCTAAAAGCACATCGGTGGGCTTTGGAACTGAGAACTTGAAGGCGTTCCTTGCTTTATCGCTAGTACGGGGACTACAGAAAACATATAAGAACCATAATCTGCTCTTCGGCAATTAGAGTCTCAGTTCCAAAGCCCACCGATGTGCTTTTAGCAAGAGGAAGAGAGGAAGCCCTTCCAACAGAATCAAAACTATCTCAGTGATTTCGCACAATAATATACGGGACAAAACAGTGGACGACTCCAAAAAAGAACTCACGCTCAGGATTTGGGCTGAATTTCACTTCGTTTATAGCTACGTTATGTCCAACAAGATTCGCTAAGAAATGTGACTGCCAACTGATATTTTGAAGGGACTTTAGCACACTGCTCATACTCAAATCGCCAAATACGAACCTGCAAAAAACTAATGACAACAGTGGACAAAAACAAAAATTAAATTGCAACGGGGAGTGCGTATGTAGTGCTCCTTGTTTTTGTTTAGGTTTTACGTACAAAAGGACTGGGAGTAATTTCAAGGTGAAGTCCTTTCCTTTTACAGTTTGCTCTTAGAATTCCAATCCCTTCCATTCCTTCTGTAATATGAAGATCGATCCGAATAAATCATGCGGCGCTTTGTTTCAATGAGAAGATTTTGGTGGGAGTAGAATTCTTGTAGCAGACTGTCTTTTTCTTTTGATTCGTTTTACATGATCCGGTCACATAAGGGAAGCTTCATTCCTGAGCAAAACCTTGACCATTCCGACTATCACCCAGGCAAGATGTAATTAGGTCAGCTCTGTACTATTGCAAGTCAAATCAAAAAAGAAGGCGCTTGTCGCCTATATTTTGCTAACGCATGAAAAGGAATACCGCTTATGGTCCTGGGGTGGGACATTCAAAATAGTGGTGATGGTAGGTGACACTATGACTAAGCCCAGAAGAGGGAAGAAAGGCCAGGGAAACTGAAATTGCTAACATCTGCCTCAGAGTTCCTTCCCCTCACTAAGGCTCAGTCCCAAGAACTGTGAGTAACTCACCCACTTGTGTTCCCCCACAACAACATGAACCCCAAAAATAATAAAAAATGTGTTTGGTAGGTGAAAAGATACAAATTTAGCCAAAAATGTACCTCTTTCTGGACACTGGCTGTAACTATTCTATAAGCTCCATCTTCAACCACTGGGTGACTATCTACTGATAATATTGCCTTTCTGTCATGCCAGAAAATTTCTGGCATGTAGTGTTCCATTATTTCCTGAACAAGTAAGTAACGAGAACATACGCATAGCTGGCCGACAGTTCACAATAAACAGAATATTTAATGCTGAGAAGAAATTTTAACCCTACAAATATGTTCGAATGGTTAATCACGACTACTTCAATGAATGCGGTACATATGAGACTGGAAGAACTAAACCTCGCCATGATAGATTAAATGATAACATGGCCATTGCTATGAATAGAAATAAATGATTCGATTGCGACGATCCACACATTTGAAAATGTAATTTTTCGCGGAAGAATTGAGCGACGCAATTAGAGCGCGAAATCTTCATCGGTGAAATGCACGGCCTGATGGCCAGGGTCAACGGTGCGTTCGCACTATTTGAAGGGGGTCGCATTTGTGGTTTTGGGAAGGGGAAGGGGCCGCATCCAGGGGTTGAGTGTTTTGTTGAGCAATGGTGAGGCGATTTAGATTGGTTTCTTGAGGAATTTGCTGGATGCAAGTGGTGCAGCGTGAGGTAGGATGAGTGGGAGAAGAGAAGAAATCCCCCGCTCGACGGCCGTTTTGGGTTTAGAGGGATGGAGGGAAAGGGGAAGCGTGGAGCGGAGTTGTGCTGTGTCGACTGGTCTCAGGAATCAAATATTTACTATAGAAACAGCCATGATGGCGAGGGTGGTGGTCGGGGGGTAGGGAGAAGGATGGTCGTATTGGGAGAGCTT